TTAAAAGTTTTACGAGGCCCATATGCGCGCGCACACAACTTTTTGGCGCGTTATAGTCGTAAATTCCACTACAATAAAACTTCGTCTAAGAGAAGGTCTGTTTCTCACACATGCGTCGTTTTCCCTGGAGGAGACACGTATATGCGTTCTACGCTATTATATGCGTTTTTATAAAGGAAAGGACGACGAGACAGTGATGGGCGAGAAAAGTAATATCACGCGTGCACGTCTATCCGCGCTGTCGTCATCGTCCTTCTTCTACCCTCCGAAAGCTCCGCAGCACTACTATTGAAAGCTTTTTTAATAAAAAAATACGCAAGAGAGAGAGAGAGAGAGAGAGAGAGAGAGAGGGATAGAAAGGAAGCCATTGTATGCGAGGAATCTCACCAAATGCCTTATTTCCCGGTGTACAAACTCTCGCGCCCAACCGAGAATTTATCACCAACCACGAGACCTTTGTGCTGCATTACCGGACAATGGAGCTTTTCGTATGCACGATAGCTCTCTCTTCGGAGAATGATATTTTCAGGTCGAGCCTAAAAAAAAATCCGCGTAGCAGACAAGCAACCAGCGAGCGAGGCGTGGATAGTGGCTTTTTATACAATTAATTAATATGCAAATTGTCGCGTAACGACGGTGGCGGCAAAGTCTTCTGCCATTTGAATGTAAGGGTTATAGCCTCATGCATTTTTCTGAACTACACGGGCTTTAACGATGATTCTCGTGCTCCCGCCAGCCGGCTATCTTCCAAATTTCGTGTAATGAATTTTTTTAGTTAGTTAACTGCGCGCGATGCTGCCGGCTACATCTCTAACTCTATCTCTCTCTTTGAAATTTAAATTCTTTTCTTCCGAGCGCGTTAACAAGATATTTAGCTCCGACAGAGTGTAATGTGATATTCCAATTTTTATTTTTTTCAGTATCCTTTCTACACGTAATGAGCAAGCCATCGTTCATTACCTATCATTTTCATAATAATAAACGGATATCATTATCCTAATTGTCTACGCATTCATTTTTCATTCGTGCGGCTGCCGTTAATTAGATCCAGGAATATCCTGAAAAAATATTATCTCGTAGTAGTCGAAGTAACACGGGTTGCGTGAACGTAAAACAAAACTCTAAGTGAACTAAATCTTGGATAGTACATCGAAGGGAGAGTTCATCGTTCTGTTTTTCTTCCGCCAAAGTTTGACGAAATCAGTACGTATTATATCGAATAAACTTGGCCTTCGTCACCGACGCGACTTGTATTTCGGGCGGAATCAATATTCACGTTTCCTGAAATTACTGTAGTGAAACCGTATAACGAGCGTGACTACGCGTTCCCGTAAGGCAAATGCTCCGAAAGTTACGGAAAGCTGCTTTATTTTATGGGTAGCTACTTCGTACACGCAGCTTCTCTCTCTCTCTGTCTGTCTCTCTATCCTTTATATTTCCCCGAAATTCACGAAACTAAAGTTTCCTATAAGCTTTCATTATTATACGGTTTAAAAGATCGGTAGAGAACGCACGATGTAGATAGACTTTCGAGACTATAACGTTACTCACCCTGTAAGCTCTCTCGAAAAATGGAAGCCGCACGAATAGCTTTGACGAGCACCATTAGCATAATATGTCAATAAAACCAGTTAATTTGCCGTGGTACGCGGCGATATGTGCTGAAAGTGCACACGCACTTTGGCTTGGTCGTTAATAATACGGTACGTTGATTTTTACCTCTTGGTGCTTTTGCAGAAGTAAATCTTGCTGGAATATTTTGATTAATAAAAAAGGGAAGATCGAAGATTGGAAAAAGTTTGCTTCATCAATGTTTTAAAAACCTTTTCTTTTTTCCGATTTTCATCATCTTCATTTTGAGCCAGAATATAAAGTTCGATAGCAATGGTGACTCCAACGGAATTGAAGAGAAACCCTACAAAGAAAATGACTGTCGGCTAGCTCCCCACGATCTTGCTCTTTCTCTTGCTAAAAGAATGCACAAGCCGACAATTTCGAATAAGCATAATTTTCAGTCCTTCATCTCAAATCCATTCCGACGCGGCAATCTCTTTGAAAGAAGCCCTATGTAACCTCGCAGCCATCCGCCTGCGCTGTTGCACCCTTCATACATTTTGCACAAATCTAAAAAGAACAACAAGGCGCTCGCTGGCAAGCATACGCACTTTGTTCTCTTATCAAAACTCAGGGGCGTCAAAAAAAAAAAAAAAAAAAAAAAAGAAAAAAAAAATAAATAAAACAAACGCAAGACTCTCGCGCCACGCAGGAGAAAAGGAGAAACATCCCCCGTACATAAAATATACGAGGCAGCGTGAAAAAGAGCGCACGCGAGGCTCTCTCCAAATTTAAGAAATCACAAACGAGAGAGAAGCACCCGCTTTGAGCCGTTTTCTTCCCCTCTTTCTCGCAATTACACAAATGCGAGGCTGGACATTTACATAGAAATATGACGACGGCAAACATTGCGCTCGACTGCCGGCTGCGTGGGTGTTTATAGACCGGCGTCCGCGCGCTCTCGAGCGTATATCGTAATAAATACTCGCGGGGAAGAGACAAAGTCGCGCGCGCTCGCCTGAGCATATAACCCTCGCACGCGCGCGCGTCACGCGGCCAGACAGTCGAGGCGCGCTACTTGCGGCTGCAGTCGCTTGACACTGGAACGGAGCGCACGACGAAAGCTTACTTCGCGCAACTCCGGGACCTGACTCGCGCATACGTACGAGGGAAAGAATCGTCAGGCGGGCCGACGAACAACGAGGCTTGATTAATTGACCGGGCGGCGCGATTAGCTGCGAAGGCCCGGGAACGGGGGTGGCTGAGTATGATGTTTCTGCGTCAATAGCGATGACTAAAACCGTATCGGGTCGCATCCCTCGCTGATCCCTCGATACGGTGGGAAGCGAGAGGCAGACTGTCGTACAGTTATCCAGCTGGTATTTTACTTTGCGGTCGGCGAACAATGAAGCCTGGCTATATCAAATAATTGATCGATGTAACCTCGTGAATAAACAATCCAGCTCGCTTTCTCGTTGTATTATTCACCTGCGCGCTGCAAAAGTCTACGTACGTACGTACGACACGCGCATGTACGACGCGTGGGTATAGCCTACGTTAGCTACATTCCGCGAATATGAAACATTAATCGTGCGAAATTCTCACTTGCAACTCGTGCGTCTGTGTGCGGTACGCAGTACATTTTCGAATGACAGTAGAATGGATGATTCATAAAATAGCACGAGGATTCATCCAAAAGCAAACACACGTATGCATAATGAAATATTTTTCGATGATTTATGAACGATAACAAGATAGAAACGAGTGAGAGCTGAGATATATATTATACACTGATTCAAGAGCAGTCATGTAGATATCAGGCTAATCCCAGGGCAAAAGCCCAGCGCGCGTACACAGTGTATCAAACATCGCTATTCGCGGCGCTACACGATACGTCCTTTTGATACACAAATCAATCCATAAATCATCTGGTCCGCATTAACATCCTTTCAGGCGTATGTGTACGTACCACGCGAACAGAAAATGAAAGAAACAGAAGCGCAAGCAGCAACAGCAAATCTCGACACGCGCGTGCGTGCGGCATTTATTACACGTCAAAAAGTGGGTGCGCGGATCGTTTTGTAGCGCGCTACTCCTCCGCTCGTCGACAATGTACACAAACAGAGAAACCGAGAGTGACTGCTGCCTGCAGCGAACGAGAGAGAGAGAGAGGGAGGCGCGAGTCGGTGTAAGTCGGGAAGCTATGCACGCGCGCCTTTTTTTCCTTCTTCTCTCATCTCGTCAACTCCTCCCTCTCTCTCCTGTCTTTTTCCCGCGAAGCGGGGCCTTCACTTGACTATCTCGGCGCTAGCAATGGATGCGTGCCAGAGATGTATGTACGACTTTCGAGTGTCAGCCGCGCCGACGACGACGACGACGACGAGATATTTTACATGCAGCTATCCCAAGTGGAACATCAGCAGCCTGCTGAGAATCGACCAGAAAAAAACAAGTGAAAACTTGGAATAATGATTTTACGGCTTGAATTCTGTAGCTTCGACGAGTTGCGATCTCTTCAACGTGACTCGCACGAATAAACAGGATAAATCTGTTTTGTAGGTGAGTAGTATGGAGCTGGGAAAAATTCGGAGGGATGCGACCTCTTTACGATTCAAGTGGCTTGCGTCGTGTTTTGAACGGAAGCGGTCGTTACGGGAAAAAACATCATTTAACAAAGTGAACGTTTGCCGCCTTGGAAGAGACATTTTTTTTTCTTATGTTTGAACACTTAGCTGACGATGTAGGATATTGGCACTTTTACTGCACAGAACTTTACGCGAGTTTCGAGTGGGTATTTCCTATCGGCTTAACGCTCTTCTTTATAGTAAGTCGTAACTTTTTTTTTTACAAATTTCAAGTTTTGTACGCCCCTCGCGTTACTGGAGCTGCATAAATTATTCAAGCCTAATACAAATATTAAATAGAAGCACTTAGAAGATTCGTACTATTTCTTGAAAAAATGAGAAAGACACGGCTCAAGATGCGCTATACACATTTAGTTTCGATTTCATATTACAGTCTTGCCAGCTACCTATATGGGCAAAAAGTAAGCGTCGCGAGACATATAAGCAGACGTGAAACGATAAGTGGTCGTATACGTTCAGAGTATAAATAATGGAAATCCATAATATAGAAAAGTGTTGTTCGTGTTAAAGTAAAGAAAGCCTATCGGTAACGGATAATCACGGAGCGGCTTGGATGCCCTAAAGCTACTTTTGCTCCGACAAAATCGCCAAACCACGTGGTCGTAATCGCATGCACATTTGCGTCAGGCAGACACTCGTATCATCGCTGCGTGCCTACAGGCAGCTCTTGCTCGTATGTATTTACGTGCATGCGCGGATCTCTTTTTGTTCGCGAAAACAGCGAGAGACGGCATACATTCGCGCGCACACGCACAGTGGCACCGATGCATGCGGCGGCATAAAAATAATGCGCCGCAGGAAGAAAAGGAGCCGGAGCAGTAGAGGCAGCCACGGAAAGAGAGACAGAGAGAGAGAGAGAGAGAGAGAGAGCGCGCACGCGAGCGATGATAAATGAACAGCAGCTGTTGACGGAAATTTGTACGAGCATAAATCTGCACAGAAGAGGCCGAGAGCAGGAAGAGCGAGAAGAAAGATTTTAGTGAGCCTAACGCGGACATCTTTCGCAGGTACGCATGGTAGTTTTTTTCATATCCACCGAGCGAAAGATAAAAACATGGCAGGAGAAAGAGAGCGAAGCCATGTGTGCGTGAAGCTTTTTATTTATGTCAGTTTAACGCAAGAGCTACTGTGCTATTAATGCACGCGCGTTGCGCTAATGCGAACGCCCGCCCGCCAAGTGGGCCTCTACGCCCGTAGGAATGCTCGAGTGGATTTTCGATATTTTCGATGTGCCAATAGCACTGTTCTTTTTTCCATTCTCCGGTCATATTTATTTACGCAGAGCCTTTCTTCCTTATGCGCAACGTGACATTGCAACGCGTGCGAGCGGCAGACAACTAAAGAAAAGAAAGTAATGACGACAGAAACGCGCGCGTCGGAAGACATTTGCATCGGAAGTGTGCCTCTGCGAGATAATTTAATCAGCCGCTTGTTCTCTGCTCCACGCCGCTTCCCTGTACAATCGCACGCGTGCAACTCTCGCGCGTCTCGTCGTCGAATCAAAAGTTTGCCAAGTTTGATTTCACCAGGTAGTTTACTTCCAAAATAAAACGAGTTTGCCCTACGCGTTCAATATGAATATATTAAAACCGCGAATATGGAAATGACTTTCGTCGCGCGCGCGAAAGAGAGAGTTTCATTATTACATCAACTTTTATCAATTGAAGGTCTGCACGCCTTCGCGACCCTTGCAAAAATAACGATGCAAATGATCGAGCTGTCGAGAAAATTCCATTTCCAGTTGTGAGACGATAAATTTTATTAGAAAATGCGCGACACATACACATTGTGCAATTACATCGACGCGCGGAAATTTATCGCCATTGCCAACGTAAAAAATTGATTGTCATTGGAATGCAATTTCGAGTAGTCGATTACTGAAACTACAAACTTTTGCACTCAAGTGCCGTGCCGCCGACTGACAATAGGCGCAGCAGCGGCAGCCAATAGCAACTAGCTAAGCTGTTTTTCCGATAGGCACGAAGAAGCATCGAACGTATTTAATAAAAGGTCTCGCGCGAATTATTCATGCGACACGAGCCATCCATTGCGCGGCACACACCCAGAGAGAGAGAGAGAGAGAGAGAGAGAGAGAGAGAGAGAGAGAGAGAGGAGTCAAGAGGAGGTACTTTGAAACGCGTGGTATATATTATATTGTAGCGCGCGGCGCGTGAATCGTCTTCATTTATTACTATCTCGCCACGGCGCGTCTGTTTTGCATAATACATATCAAGCGGAATGTACACGCAGCTGCTACTTCCTGCCTGCGACAAACAATCTTTAACTTAGCGTTGTTCAATAAGCATCCAGTCCAAGGTAGATATATATGTACTGAATAATGGAGAGTTTAGCGTTAAAGTTTTACTCCCCTGCGTGTGCAGAGGATGGACGGATTAGGTATCTCGATCGCGGGCGTCTGATAAACACGTCGCGAGTAATTTGCGGCTGCGCTGTGTTTGCCTGGGTGCGTTTTCGCAGCTGCTGCTCGCGCTTTACTTTACTTTCCCCGGAAGTATTCCGACGGCGTAAGCGCCGCCCGTGTACTAACGCACCGTCGCTGAGCCTTCGAATTACCAAGTTTCAGCGCACGCGCTCTCGGCGCAGCATTGTTTATTGTTTCGCTTCATTCGTTTACCTACATTCAAACCATTAGGTATGTAAGACGTTGAAGTCGATCGCGTGCGAGTTTGCCTAATTGCGTCAGACACTTCTTTCGTTACTTCGTCAACTACAGTATCGAAACAATTGTTTTTAATTCACTAAATTTTTTAATCAATATTCCAAGTCCGGACAAAGTTTAATCTTTAGAAAATCAGAGGCGCTCCTTGGTCACGCGCGTCTTTTATGTTGCAGAGGCGCTGAGAGAGAGAGAGAGAAAGAGCGTGTGCGCGCGAAGTTGGGACAAGGATGACAGTTTTACTGGGTCGTAATTCAACCCCTGCTCACCGACAATTTCAAAGAGATCAATTCAAGGCTGCAGCGTTGAAAATTCCATAAACGTTTTAAACTAAAAACTTCATCTCTTTCATGTTGAGTTCCTCCCTCCATTCTTATTCGACGCGTCCTCGCTCTTCTGATCAAGATTAATTGATGTATAAAGTACTAACAAGTGTCTTTGACGTATTCTCAAGCTTTTATGGATAATTTGTTTCTTCTCTTTTCTGGCGTGGGTGGAAAGTAAACAGTATACACCGCATATGGAAGAGTGTTGACGAGATGATTTTTCTCACTTTTTTGCCGGAATCATAATTAATAACTCATTTTACGGACGACTCGATGACAAACTAGACAGGTATTTATTATCCGGGAGAACCATTAAAAAGGTCTGCGTGTTCTCACAAATGGATTTTTTGTTATTTCAGAAGAAGCAAAAATGGGCGATCATTTATATAAGTAAGAAGAGGCGAGGCCTTCCCAAGTACTATGTAGAAAAGTACATCGTATGGTGTCTGTCAGCTTCGGAAAAGCGTCTCATTCGCGCCTATCCTCTCTGGAAGATTTTTCTATCCACGCACATTATTAGCATATTTTCACAGTTGAATTTTACACCACTTCCGATTGTGAAAACATGAAGGGCGGCACAAGTGCTCTTTGTTTTTACTCGCGCTTGTTCGGACTCGCTTGAATAATGGATTCGAATTCGTATACTCGAGCGCGAGCTTCTTTTTTCCCTTTTTTCCAGATGACTCGACACAAATTTTCGATTACCTCGTGGTTATGAGTTTTATGGCTTTGAAGAAATGAAAAAATTATAATTGCCACGATGACTTTCAAGCCGTAAGCTTTAAAGAGCTTCCTTCTGTGTCTATATACGAATAAACTTGATCTTTCGACGGTGAACATATCCATCGTAGGCGTAATAAACTCAGCGGTTGAACGATTCGATTTTTTACTGCAAACAATGTAATGCAAGTATATAAGAAATTATATATCGATGATTGATACGAGGGAAGATGATGATGGCAATGAGCCAGGAAAATGAAATGAAGTGGAAGGAAGGATTCTCGCTCAGTCATCAGCCACAGCAAGTATATATGAAAACTGCAAGTCACGAAACAAGGATGGCTAACAGCAGTACAGAAGTATGCAACGCTGCTATGCAGCCTGTCAAACTTTATAATTTTTCTCAATCATTGGGCTGATGCTTTAAAACACACATCGTTAATGCGGGCGGTATGAAGTCAAACGATCGGCCGTTGATCGCAACGGCAGCAATCGACGGCAGCTGAAAAAGTATATATACAAGAAGTTGATTAATTGCATCAAGAACAAATGATCTTTCAAATATTATTTGTGGGCGTATATCTTTCGATCTCTACCTCTCTTTCTCGCTCTCGTGACTCTGGATTTCAAAAGGATACTCCGACGGACGAACCAATTTTTTTTCGCCAGCTGTAACCGATCTACCACGTGTAATATTTCACGTTCGCCAATGTGCTTGTCACGAATTTCATTTTGAGCAATAATTTTTATTTGACAAAGGTATTCCAACTGAAGGTTTAAAAAAACTACGGAGCTAATTTTTTAAGAATAAAAAAACTTGTTGGTCGCTACTTGGAATACTTGGGGAAAAGGATGAATAAATTCCTGGACTTGCTGGCAATCATACAAATTGAAAGTTTTTTGAAACTCAGCGTTATATATGACGAAGATTAAAAAGTATGAGTAACTATGATCGATACCCGACTAGTCGCAGGCCTCGGGTCAGCGCTCGCGGCGCTTTTATTGAGCAAACATGAAACTTTTGAAACATCGCTCCGTCCAGAGGCAGGAATTTAATTTATCTAATTTGAAGTTTATGCCTAGTGTTTTAGCTCGAAAAGGCACGGATCAGCATCGCGTTGGATATTGAAAAAGTATTTAAATACTTTCTTGGCGATCAACTGGCTAAAGCATTGCGAGGGTACAGCCAAGATATCCATTTGACGATCAAACTTCTTTCATCTGCCGAATCAGAAGACGAAGTTTTCACAGCTGTAAAAGCACTTTGGCGATGATACTACAAAAGGACACAATAAAAAAAAATCTGATGCTTCGAAAGGCGTATTCGGTAAATGAAAATCACATTTGATGGGTTAATATCGCACAGGAGAACTACGCTGCAAAGTTGGATTCATCCGAGTAAACAGTCCTTCCGTGAATTTCCTGCTGGAGGCCGGAGAGGAAGAAAATACAGAGGTCGTCGAGCGCTGCCGTGCGGAGGATTGGAAATCTCGTCTCAGCGGTCCGTCGGCCAACTGCGAGAAGAATTATGCATTCGTCCCTTGCTCGCCGAGGCGAGCGCGAGCGACAATTCATCGGCAGCCGTCGCGACACACTCGGCTCGGCGAGAAAAATATGTTGACTTTCAATTTGAGCAGCGCGGCGGCGGTGGCGGCCGCGGCGGCGCCGTAATGCGCAGCGCTTTCTGCGCCGCCGGCAGCCGGACAATACTTGCGCGCTCGCAATCAGTTGGCTTTAACCGCGACACCAGTACAATGGGCTGTAAAACGAATTTTTGCGCGAGCGCCCGACGCGAGGGACTCTCCACTGTGACTTTGCGCGCGGAGGGAGCGAACTGCCGCGCACGACTTTTAAAAACACGATTCCCAGGGAGGTTACCCTATAGGTAAATAATTTTATGCTACGTAAATATACGTATTTTATGTCGCCGGCACACGCGCGCCTTCTATGTAAACAGGCGACGGATCAAAACGTGTTTCCACAGTACGCCCGCTGTAGTTGATGCATCGACGAAAATGGAGTCACTTCATGCCGTAGAGGGGCGAAAATTGCCGCGCTTGACAAATACATTTGGGGAGATATTTGGATTTTTATTCGGAGAGCGACGCGCTTTTTGTCCTATGCCAGGCGGCAGGGGGAAACATACGACGATGAATCGCGTAATTTAGGACGATTCGCACGGGGATTCACGCGCTTTTTTCTCTTACACGGCGGCTGCTTCTGGCTGCTTCCGCGAATGAACGACTGCCGATTGTCAGGGCGCGCGCGATTATTCATACGCGCCAGGCCACGAGAATCGTGGGTTCCGCAAGGAAGAACAATGCTACGCGAGTGGACAGAGTCTAATGCAGATTTGCCAGCTATATGGCGCGAAGCAGGCCGGAAAGTTTGAATGGGTTGCAGCCACGACACGCATACGCGTCAGCCCCGTAAAATGCTTCACGCCTCCTAATTTACAAATATCTCTCGTCGCGTATAAATATTTAAGCCTTGGTACGAGTAAATCTGTTAAATTGAATCGGTTAAGTGCAAAACAAAGGCTCATAAAGTTACCGCCTCATTGTCTGTGCCTGCAGCGGGGCGCATGAATCCACTGCTACCCACACGGGCTTCTTGCCGCGGCTCATTTTCACCTGTGTATATATCCACCGCACACGCAGTCTCTTTGAAAAGTATTGAAACCCATCCGAGTTGGCTGAGACTGCTCGCATGCACGCATGCATATTCATTCGCGTGGCTCAATTCTTGTTTTACTCGTATCTTGCAGCCAGTAGGAGAGAACCTTCGGAGAAAATGCATATTTACAAAGTGGCTCAATGATTTTCCCGTCTTCTCGTCAAAGGCGTCTTTTCACGTTGGCGATGCTATTGTTTACGCGGAGATTGGCATGCGATCGCAATTATCGGAACGAACTGCCCCGCGAACTTGTCTCTTTGTACCTGCTGTCTTTCTTTTTTTTCTTTTCCGCTTGCTCGGAGAAAATATCTTCACGAGAAGTCGCTCTTACTCTTGCCTCTGCTCTTTTGTATTCAGCTCGGGGAGAGGAGGTCAGTCACTGTGAAATTTGAAATAAACAGAATTTACGGTCTTGATCTTCATAAATTGAACGTCTCTCTCGCTCGCTAACCGTCAACAGTCAAATTAAATAACATTTTTTTTTCTCTCCGTATCGCTTTTCACAAATGATACAACTCTTTTGTTTCAAGCTATAGTACATTGGCGTAAAAAAAAATAATGCTTCGGAAATAAAGTTGCGAGGCGTTTAATTTATTCCGCGAAGAGCGCCGAACTTTTTTCATAAACAAAGAGAAGGAGATTTTTTTTATGACGCTGCGGCAACTGACAGTGCGCGTGTCATAAAAGTTTAAATGAAAAATTTTCGCAAACAATAAAAGCGCGATTTTAATTGCACGTTTACGAGCTGGTCGGTGGGACAAAACGCACACACGAGGAAAACAGAGGCGAAGCTGCCGCGGCCGTCGAAACATTGCATTTATTATGGAGAATCCAAAGTGGCGGTGTGTTCTATGCTTGCTGCCGGGGGAGAAACGGTGGATGAAGTGACAAAGTGCAATAATTGGTGTCATACGTCTTCCGTAATTGTCCCTAATAACGCTTCTAATTACCGTTCTGAAGTTTGCGGAAATAACGATGCTCGTGCGCGCGGTGCAACGTATATAGCGAATCGAGTCAATTAATCTGCTGCTGCTGCCTGGCGTCAGGACAGATTTCGGCAAAAACTTTGGCACTGCTTCTCGCTTCTTTTGCCGTGATCATTTTTCGCGTTAAAAGATTGATCGCCGATGGCTATAGCTTTACTCGGAGAAAGAGAGAGAGAGAGCGACCGAGCGATCGGATTATTACTTGTTGGCGCGAAGCTTATCAAAAATTTCAAGAGTTTTTCGTGTCGTTTTTCTCTTCTCTACCTCGCTCGCGAGAAAATAACTTGCTTGTAAACGTAACTTAATAGCAGCACGTTTTATAAATTAGAAACGTCGCTCGGTCTCGTGGATCGCGAGTGCAATAACCTCGCGTTCGTCGCAATTCAATTAAAACCGGGGCTTTATTCAACTTTAGCTTGCTGCGCTCTAGCAAACTCGTTGTCGTAGCTGTCGAACTCTCTGTAGAGACGTTCGAATCTGATAACCCATTCATGACTCCGATAATCTGGACACAGTCTCTCTCTCTCTCTCTCTCTCTCTAGCGGCTCGCTCGAGCTTCGGCAATTCGATCGATGCAGCTCGCTGCTCTTAAACTCTCCCTTTGCTCGCAATAAATTCGCGTATTTGCACTTGCGCGCACGCTCCATTTGAAACCGCGCTTCGGTATACTTCGTACGTCAGCAATATTCCGCGCAATGTAAGCGCTGTCGCTGCGGTTAAATTTATCGCGCGTTATGCCGTTTATCAATATTTTATTCGTACGCGGAGCGAAAAAAAAATTTTCAGATTGCTCGGCCTTTTTCAGCCTATCCGCGGTGTATATCCGCTTCCTTTCTCCCAGGCGGCCGCCGAGAGCGAGCGCGTGCGGCCATGTCTTTCTTTTTCCACGTTTTTTCTCGTTGCCCCGTGACTGCACCTCCGCGAGCGCCCCTCGTTTCGCTCTTTTTTGCTCCGTTTGTTTTGTTTCCGTCGCGGAGAGAGACGGTTCGCCTATCTCCACAAGCGCCAACGTCGGCGACGACGACGACGACGACGACGACGACGTGGAGTGGTTTTAGTGCGGATTATTTAGTTGTTTGGACTCTCGGCGATCAGTTCGTTTTTTCGGGCTAAAGTTTCACGCGGTTTTTAGAAACTTTACAGACTCGACGGCTCTTGGCTCTTTTTTTTATTTTGGTTATTTTATCACAGGCTACGCGTGTGTGAGACTTAATTTAGGAGAGTCACGCTTGATCCCCGCGAGATTCAGTCATATTAATTGGGTAATAAATATTTATGAAGTGATAAAATTTAGAGTGCTCACTGTTGTTTTTTGACATTTCTTAACAATTCATCTACACGAAAAAAGAACGTTCTCCATACGCAGTAGACGAGAATTAGAAAAGAGGTCTGAAAACGAAGAGATATGTCTATCGAAAAATTGTCAGTATTTGAAGATGGACAGGCCCGCGAGATTAAACGTTCGGCATTGAAAAGCAGCGAGTAGCAAAAAGAGAAAAAATTGCAAGCCTTTTCAGGACATCTATGATTGTTAATATATACCTCTCGGGTGGCTGGCAATACCCCAGGCAGAGCTCCTTTATTCTCGCTCTCAATATATCTTCTTTTATTTCTCTATCACTTTCCTTCTCTCTCTCTCTCTCTCTCTCTCTCTCTTCATCCCTTTTCGCGGACGCGGAAGGAAAGCTAGTCGCCCCCGCGAGCGAGTTCTGCCGGTGAAAAGCGCGTGCGTGAAAGCGAGCCCTCGCAGTAGCAAAATTACGAGGCTGCACCTTCCGCCGGAATTGGCGAGCGCGCAACTCCTCTCTCTCTCTCTCTCTCTGCCCCCCTCTCGTCCCATGTGATTTAGCGGCCAGACTTGCCTTCGATCGCATCTTTTTCATTCGCGTAGTCTGCTAAAAATCTAGCCGTTCCTTCTTTCGCTTTGTGCGTATCCTGACGCAATGAGAGGGAGACAGTCTGAGTCTTTGATATGACGACGGATTCGACTGAGGATCCCTGCTATTGGCTTATATATCCTCTCAAAGACCTGAGTCCGTATGATTAGGACTTCAATATGCAGTGAAGCCTTTCTACGCCAGCGCCGACAGCAACTTTTTTTCCGTTTTGCCTGCTTCATCTTTTTCAGCGAGCGCCTCTACTTCCTCGTCGGATACGTTGCCGAACTCGCGTTCAATAAATATTGCAATAAAATTTCAGATTGACTCGATGCGTCTCGTTTTACTCTACTTTGAGCGGATACAATTCGACGGTCTTTTCATCGAAGAATGTATACGTGCCATATAGCTATTTCGTTGCCCACACGAGAGCTCGATATATACGCACACGCTACTTGTCAATGGTCGACGCTCTCTTTTTCCGATCGTTTTCTCCGATTGGTTTTTCGGCTATTGCGCGTATTTCACTACTCTTTATTCAGTACTTTGGGCTTTCCGAGAAAATATTTGAAACAATCTCATTTAAAGGTGCATTTGTTTATTTTTCGAATCAAAGTAAATATGTAGAAATTGGGGAAAACTCATTTAAATACGTAACTTGATTTAACCGTAGTATTTCGGTTCCGTCGATTCAATTAGCATAATACAATCGTCGTGTACCTTCAGCATTAAAATCCACAGTTGAACAATGCAAATTCATTCTTTCATATTTTATGCGACTCAACCGTACATTTTGCGACAGCGAAGAACAAAAAAACAAGAGACAAAAGAGACTATTTAATTCATTTGAAAAATAATGTTGGATTTCTGTGACACCATTTTTCTTGTTCATAGGTTTGTTAATTCTAGTCACATTTCAACGAGATGCGAGAACATTTGCACATAGCATTCTTTCTTTTTGTTCAAGGTCTTTATTATATGCGTTAGCGAGAGAAATTTTACTGTGCAATATACAGCGACCTTTGCTTTCTATTCATTCTGATTCCCAGCACGTT